GCACCCCAGACCCACGGGTAGGTAAAACAACGTCCGTTTCTAGCCGGAAGCAGTTACAAGAAGATGAGACCTTCATCCATTGTCCTTTAAAAGAATTTAAAGTGGGTATATATATCTAAAATAAAAAATTGTTACAAGTTTCAGCCAAGGGTGGGGGGACCCCAAATGGGCATTTGGGACAGAGTCCAGAATTCAAGGTGTCCAGGAAATTTTAGGATGTCTTCACCCCTTCCCCACAGGTGTAAGTTGAAGAGGGACACACAGAGCAAAATATGCGGGACTGTTTTATACAACACCGGTTTTGCAGTTGACCCATGGCATGGTCATTTAACGTGCCTATAGCCTTCAGCTGGTCACTTAGATATGCTAAATGGCTGTGGCCATGCTCTGGGCCAGGGAGATAAAGGAAGACTCCCCTGCCCAGGATGTGACAGGGAGGCAAGTCCCCCAAGTGGGAGCTTGGAGAAAAATTGGCTCCATAACATGGGGCCACACCTGCCCAGACCCATGATAACAGCCAGACAGGAGCGGGTACTGGCCTGTCCAGGATCTGTGGGCTGTCTACGAATCAGCCAACAGCCGCCACCCAGTGGTCCCGAACCCGTGCACCCTCCTGAGCCAGCTTCCCCCAACAGCAACGTGGTTTACCTGCCTTAATCTGAAGGATGCCTTCTCCTGCATTCCTGTGGCACCTTCCAGCCAACCCATTTTCCGCACACAGCGGTCAAGACTCAGTTGACCTAGACTAAACTGCCCCAGGTGTTTAAGAACTCCCCAGCCCTGTTTGGGAAGCCCTAGCAGGAGACCCCTCGCTAAGGGGGGGATGGACCTGACAATTCTGCAGTATATGGACGACCTCCTCCTGGCAGCCCATCCCAGGATCGGTGCTAGGAGAACGCACATGCTGCTGAAGTGCCCCCCTACAGCCGTCTGCGCAGTCCTCCGTCATAGCCCTTCACGTTGTTCCGTCAGGTTCGCCTGCCCCAATAGCCTACAAGCTCCCTTGGGGCTCCGGTAATATCACCAAGTGCAGAGCTCAGCAACCAGGCTTGCCAGAAGTACTCAGGGTGTGATCAGGGGCGAGGACAGAAAATGGCAGAGTTGCCAACGCCCTCCAGAACCTTGTCTGGTTTCTGAGGAAAATGCTCATTCTCCTGAGGGAAAACCAGCCTGCACCCTGTGGCTGTGGAACTCAACCCTACTACCAGGCTTTGAAAGGTCCGGACATTAAGAAAAAACCTTCCAAAATATTAAGAGGTGCCTCAGTAATGTTCCTGCCCTTGAACTGTCAAAGCCGAGGTGGCCTTTTAATCTGTACACCCACAAGAGAGACAAGGTAACCCTTGAATCCTGACCCAGCCTGTCGGACCATGGCAACACCCGGTGGCTCACCTGTCTAAGCAGTTAGACATCTGCTGGCGCCACCGGCTGGCCACCTCATCTGAGGGCAGTCGCTGCTGCCATAACGCTCTTGCAAGAGGCATAAGTGGCTGTTGAACCCCAAACTGACTCAATACCAGGGCATCCTCCAAGGAAACCCAAGGGTGCATGTTAAGACCATGAAACAAATCAATCCAGTCACCTACTTACCGGCAGAACTTAGAGAACTAGACCATGACTGTCTTAGAGTAACCAGAGAGGTCCACGCCAGTCGGCCAGACCTCCAGGACCAGCCCCTGGTCCAACCTGATGTTGATGTCACCCACTACATGGATAGAAGCAGCTATATAGTTGAAGACAAGAAAGTTGCCGAGTATGCAGACCAGAAAACTGGACTGCCCTGGACAAACTTACTGCTGCAGGAGTCACCCCTTGGATCTACTACAGCTGGGCCAAGACAGCAGCAGATCCCAAAGACCCGAGGACTAGGCCTGTGCCAAAACCCACGCTAAGACAGTGGAGGACGCCAACCAGTAAAAAAAGATGCCAAGGAATAAACTGTTGTTCCGCAGAGTACCTGACTTTAATTGGCACCTTTGCAGGAGCATTGACAATTGGGCTAGTGACTGTGGCCCCTGAGGAATGGAATCCCTGCAAAGCGGGTCACCCTAGAAATAGTTTGTCTCTGTTTGATCTCTGTATTTGGATTTATTGTATGCTTTGCTTAACAAATGCAGCCCCTGTCTCAGCCCCAGCCTGCAAATGTAATACCCCCAGGCATAGGATTATGCTCAGCGGTAAGGTGGTCTCTTACTGTCTCCCAGGGTCAGCTTTCAGCTCCTCCACTGATGTGCCATTGGGTTGCATTCAGTCACAGCGGTCCCTCTGCACTTGGGGAGGGTGGGTGTACTGGACTGGAGTAACATCCAAGACCATGGAGTACCGGACCCGGAGGTGTCGGGCATGTGAGACCCTGAATCCTCCGGACCTTAGTCCCACACCTAGGGCTACAGTGACTCATAGGGCAGCTGCCACAGTGCTAGCCCTCCGGTGGTACCAACACCAGTATCAGCAGTTGTAACCCTCCCAAAGACCTCAGCCTTATAGCCAGATATTAGTGATGCTAAAAGGGATAAAACACCTTATAGCATCAAAGGGGGGAATGTGGCAGGAAAAGAAAACTCCAAAGGTTTCTTATGCTCTGTAACTGTAACACTTGCAAAGTTTCACACAGGACTGTAGAAGCTGACAAGTCGTAACCAAAGCAACGGCCAGTTACTCAAGGTCGTACACAGACTCCCATGATAAGCTCCTCGCTCCTTGCTTCTGAAAATTCCTCCTGAGTTTTCTCTTTGTCTCCCATATAAGGTAGCTAGACCTAACTTCCGCATTCGGCTTCTGTAACCTTGCTTCACCACGTAGGTAGGAAGCCCGGGACTATTTAAACCCCAGGAGAGTGAGGATCGGGGCTCAGAGGATTTGGATGTTAGCCACCCTCTCTGGGCCCCCGGATAATAAAGTTCGTGCTTCATTATCTCCCCGCGTGTGGGTGGATTTTCCACAACAGAGGGAGTACACTTCTGGATTGTTTAAATGTTTGCAAGGTGCCCGGGTTACCTTTGCAGTGAAAAGAAGGCAAAGATCTTTACAAATGGGAGGTGGCTGTAGAGAAACACTATCTGTGGGGGAAAGATGTGGGTGATAGGCAGCTGAGTGCAGAAGAGAGTGGGAAAAGGGAGCCTGCTCCCGTCCTTGTCATCATGGCCGCGCTCACTGTGCTGGGCTGAAGAGAACTTCCCACTGGTTCTGCACCCTGATTCCTGGAGCCTGTGGTGTGAAGTTCTACAGCACAAGTGATTTTACTGATAGGTTAAGGACCTCAAAATGGGACATTATCCTGAATTATCCAGGGGGGGACCCTAAACATAATCACAAGAGTTCTTATATGAGGGAGGCAGAGGGAGATCAGAGACACACAGCGGGAGAGGAGGAGAGGTGACCACAGAGGTGGAGACTGGAGGGGTGGCCGCCAGCCATGGGACGCTGACCGCCACCCAAGGCTGGAAGAGGCGGGAAGAGATTCTCCGGAGCCCCCAGCAGGCCCGCAGTCCTGCTGACTGCTGGGTGCTGGCATGCCGCCTCCACACTGCGGTTCGTGGCGGTGTGTGGCAGACGCAAGAGGACACTCATTGGGGCCCTGCTCAGGCTCCAGCACATTTCTGGGAGAACCCAGGATGAGAACCCAGGACGAGGCTGGAAAGGAGGGTTCTGGCCCGTCCTGTGCGTGTGCCAACCTCAAGGGAGGACGACTTAACAGTCCCCGAGCACCGGGCCACCTCCACACACGCGCTTTGTCTCTTTGGGGCCCCGAGCAGCCTGATTGGAAGGCTCTGGCTCACCCTCCCCACCTCCCAGTCCCCCAGGGGATTTTCTGCCAGTTGGGCCCTTGAGCTTCTCAGCTCAGGGGCCCTAGAAGGTGAAAGAGAGAGAGAGTGTCTCAAATGGGGAAACCAGGCCCAGAGAGGGGCCACATCTCGGTCAGGACAGGCAGTTAGACAGACGTGAGCACAGCAAGGACTCAGGGCAGGTACAGAAGGCCGGCAGGGCGGAGAGCCCCCGATGCCTAGCAACGGGCAACACTGGGAAAACGAGGGCCTCGGCCCTCAGGGTAGCCTTTCCTCCCTTGGCATACCACTGGTCAAGCACTTTAGATCCCCTGCCCCTTCCTCCCTAAGCATAACATCCAGGCCTCAGCTGTGTTTCAGCTCCAGGCCCAGAGAAGCAACAAAACCAGACCAGCAAAACCATGGACACCTGGGGACCAGCTGCTTTGACTTTGACCTTCTGCCCCGGCGCTGACCAATCAGTGGAGACCACAACCCAGAAAGCACATACCTGGACAGCTGATGAACAGTCCACGGACATTCTCCCCTGAGACCTCCCCTGAAATTCCCTGCCTACAAGAGAGAAAGAAGAACTCCCAGGACAAAGGACCCAGTCTGCACTCTCCCTCCCTCCCAGGAGCACACCCATGCCTTCCCCTTCCGCCTCTTCCCTCACAGGCAGCATCTCCTAAACTCTAAGGGACCCCAGGAGACTCACAACAGGGGAGCAGTGGGCAGTGGCAGCTCTCTGTGGGTTCACCCCCTGCGCCCGTGCCCAAGACCCTTTTCTCTGACTTCCCAGTGAGCTCAGGCTGCCCCGCCTGGGCTCTCCTCTCTCCTCTCGTTTCTTATATGCTAAGCCCTTCCTTGTTTCACTGCTTTAATAAACCTCCCGTCTGAATATGTTTTGCTGTGGCCAATACATTCTTGCTTGCTTTACTGTGCTCTGTCTCTTGAGTGAAATCTTTCCTTCAAGAAGACAAGAATCAAAGTTGAGTCATCTCGCAGGTGACACGTCCATTTGGCTACCTCCCTCCTGGGGCAGGAGGGAACTTCCTCAGTTTTCTGAACTCTGACCTCCCTCCTCTGACCCCCTTCTTTGCTCCATAGAAGGAGCCCGGCCGCCAGAGTGTCCAGTGTGAAGACCAATGAGAAACTTAGGGAAGGAAGACGGGTCATTTCCTCCCAGCCTATCTGCACTCTCCTGTTGGGGTTTTAAAAACCACAGCCCTCTGGCAGGAGAACCTTTGCCCAGCTGAGAACGCAGAGAACTCGGGCGACCTGAATATGGTGAGTCTAGAAGGGGAGTGGGTACCGGAACCCTTGCTCTCTCTTTTGTGGCTCCTGTCCCCCTCCCCGTGCCCCCACCCAACTCACCCTGTCTTCCATCTCCTCCCTGTGTCCCTCACCCTCCGCTCAGACTCTCCCACTCCTGGGCTGGGATGTGCTAGGAGTAAGATTGCAGGGGATTATCAAAGGTTTATTAAGGAGCCATCCCAAGGCCATGGGGCTGGGGTCCCAAAGCTCCCCAGGGCGGAAAATTTGTGTCTTGGGTCTGGAAAGGTGATTTTCTTCCTCTTGGTGGAGGATCCAGAAACAGCCTCCTGGGTGGTGGGCATGGCAGGAGCAGAGGTAGGGAGGCTGGAAAGAGCCAGTTCGGGTGGATCTGGATGTTCGGGTGCTCTGAATTGTAGAGACAGAGAAACTGAGGCAGGAGTAGAGATGGCCCTGTTTCTGAACTCAAAGGGTTCACCCTTTGAGGGGCTCTGTTCAAGAATGGGACATGGTTTTATTTCCTTGTAACAAGTAAAGGAGATGGGGGATTCATAGCCCTAGCTTTGCCTCCTGGATGGGAGGCTTAGCCATATGGCTCCTGCAATTGACTATTTGGTCAAATACATGTTGATTTCTTCTTTGCAGTTGGCTACACTTAGCAGGTTGGGCTTCTGCCAAGCTCATCTTGTTTGCAGCCAGTCTGCAAAACAGTGTGCTGTATTTTAACATTTAGCAAGAATAGCATTTAGCAAGAACCACCCAGACGGTGAGAATTTCTCCTACTTAACAGCCCGGGTCCTTGGTGGTGGGTGGCAGAGCCAGACTGTCCCGTGGACTCTGTGAATGTCAGAGGGACACCTCGTCCAGGCTATACTAGGGAGATCCCTGCGCACATGCGCCCCGAAGCCTGGGTCCAGGTGAGGCAGGTCTGTGATTTAGCACCTGCGGTTGCTAAGCAGTCTGGTCTTGCTCCATCTGGGGGAAAGTGGAAATGGGAGGGGTCTGGTGTTGCTCCATCCCCCTCATCCCATTTTTGAGACGCTGGGAGGGCCCACCATTCGCTTCAACTTTAAAAAAAAAATCATCACCCAAGGCTATGTTGATTGATTGTTGAGAGAGAGAGAGGTCAGAGAATAATACTGGTTGCCTCCCATAACTGTCCTGACTGGGGATGGAACCTGCAACGTTTTGATGTCCAGGGCAACTTTCTAACCAATTGAGCTGCCTGGCCAGGGCTTGACCTCGTTTTTTTTCTATAAAATAGTCCCAGTACCAGAGGGTATGCAGTGAACAGTCACTCTCCCCGCCCTCCCCAGAGCTTCAGGCTCCTTGTCTTTGCTTCCCATGAAGACACCAGTGAACTGGACACCAGTTCACAGTGGATCCTTCCAGAAACAGCCCACGGGCGCTCAAGGAAGCAGGCCAAGTCCTACTCTTCTCTGTGCTCTGCAGTCTCCCCACTTTTCTTTCTCCTCTCGGCTGTCCCCTACCCTGTCTTCACGATATAGGCCTGGATCCCTGCTCCCGCCTCCTCTCCGGAGCTCCAGCCTCTAGTCTTACCCATTCACAGCGGCCAGAGGGAGTTTTTGAGAACTAACCGCTAACCGAATCCCTCTACAGCTCAAAGACCATCTGTGGCTCCCCATTAGCACGGAATAAAAACACATTCTTTAACATGGCACCTGCGGCTCTTCCAACCTCATCTTGTCACCCTTCAGCCTCGCTGGCCTTCTTTCATTTTCTGGTGTGTCCTGGGGCCCCTCCCTCTGACCTTGTGGCTTCTTGCCTTGAACTCTCTCCCCTCCTTCCCACCGCCCTTGAGGCCCAGTAGCCGCTCAGAGAGGGTACTGGAGTTCGACTCTCAGAAGTTCTCTGTCACCTGCCAACTAGGAGGACTCAGAAAGGTCTCTTAAGCTCCCTGTCCCCTCAGTGTTCTCACCTGTGAAATGGGTGTTGCCACAGCAACAACCCTCTGAGGGCTGTTCCAGGTGGATTAGGTGAGATAATAGCCAAAATGGGCTTGGAACAGAGCTTGGTGACTGTGACTGGTGTCCTTGTAAGTCGTGCCGTGTCTCCCCCTTCATCTGTCCTCCGAGCCGTTCACGTGGCCTCACTGCCACCACCCTAGTGCTAGCCGCCACCGTCCCTCCCCTCGCCTGGATATTCCGATCTCCTTTTCTCCCCAGCTTCCGTTCTGGGGTCTTTCCTCCACGCAACAGACAAGGGCTCTAACCGTGGGCCTGGGGACCAGGGAACAGTAATAGTACCTGCCATTCTGGTCATTGTGAGGTAAATACTGTATTTAGTCCATTAATGGACTAACACTCGGAAAGTGCTTAAAACACTGCCCGGCGCTTAGGCACGTCCCAGTAGCCGCCCAGACCTACACTGATTGGTACGGGGGTCGCAGGCCATATGCAGCCACTGAAACTTCATTAAAATGACAAAATTAAAAGTTCAGCTCCTCAGATGCGTGGGCCACGTTTCACGCACTCCACAGCCACACAGAGGAGGCGACCCTCGTGGACGGCGTCCGTGTGGAGCACTTACGTCAGTGCGGAAGGTTCTGTCAGCGGTGCTGTGGTTTTATTTTTCTAGCACCGGCCTCTCTATTGCACATGCCCAGTTCTCGTCACCGGCGGGGAGGGGGGAAGGGGACGGGTAGTTTCCGTCTCCTTTGTGCGATGAAGAAATATTCTCAGAATTTTCCGAGACTCCTAGAATTGTCGAAACATGAATCCTGCCCCTCCCTTTTTTTTTTTGAAAGAGGAAAAAGAGAAACATCGCCTTGGTGTTCTACCCATATGTGCAGTCATTGGTTGACTCTTGTATGAGCACTGATGGGGGATCGAACCTGCAACCTTGGTATAGCGGACCATGCTCTAACCGACTGAGCTATAGGCCAGGGCCAAGCCATGGGTCCTTCCATAGATGGTATGTAATAGCACATCCATTTTTTTGGAATGGGCAGTGCACTCACTGGTACGGTTCTACACCCAGGACCAATAAAGCATATATGGTGAAATGCTTTTTCCAGATGCCTGCCCTCAGCCCCTCCTGCCCCTTCCCTTGGGGGGACCACAGTTAACAGGTGTCCCCCGTCTGCTTCTGGAGCTAGATGGCACAGGCACACAGACAGAATAATGGGAGTGGGGGAGGAGAAAGAGGCAGAGAGAGGAAGAGAGTTTCCTCTTGGTAGATTCACTCGCTGTCCCTTCAGCGTTATACACTGTCCTATTTCACCTGGCTCACAGGTGGCAAACGCAAGGCCCAAGGGCCAAATCTGGCCCTCCACCTTGTTTTATCCGGCCAGGCATCTTGTTTCTCCCTGGCTGCTGCACCAAGCTCCTTGCCCCTAGTTAAGGAGTAGTTACATTTATACAGTCCTAAAGTTACATTTGGTCCTTTGAAGGCACTTGAGAGGCTGATGTGGCCCCCGGGTGAAAAGGAGTCCAACACCCCTGGCTTGAAGCTCTTATCAGTGCGTAAACTTCCCTGTTCTTTTTGGTAGTGGCCTGGATGGGTCATCACTCATGTAGCCAGTCCCTTGTTGCTGGGCACTTGCGTTACACCCTATCTCTAGCGATGCTGTAATGGCCAAAGTTGGTGAGCCATTTGCAAGGTCCCGAGTGGAAACCACAGAGTGGTTCTGAATCAGCATCTTCTCTCTGCATTCAGCAATAAGGAAGAGCTAAGTGAGCTTCCTCAGCTGGTGACAGTGGGAAGGATGAATGTGGGTGTGCAGGGAGGCTCGGGGTTTGAGGTCTGACGCATCCTGCCCTCAAAGACGGAAGACAGCTTAAAAAACCAGAAACCAGCCCGGGAAACATTACCCTTCTGTATCACCCTGTGCTGACCTTTAATATATGTAACAACCTGCACAGCCCCGACCCCCAGCAGGGCCTGGGGTCCCCTGCTGGGAGTGGCATTAACCCTTTCATGCCTGGAATGTGGGCACCTGGCGGGGGAGGGTCCCAGCCTAGGACATGGGAAGACAGGGTGCTCGGGTCGGGGTGGGACGGTAGGGGTAGATGGCTCAGGGCAGGGGCCACTTAACCAATGGAAATATCTCAACAATTTTAGCTTTCTATTTGGAAATCTTTCCACACTTATAGAAAAATGACAAAAATAATACAAAAAACTCCCCCTATACTCTTCACCCAGAGTCTCCAAATTGGCTCGCCCTAGCTATCATTTTTTTTTCTTTCTGAATCATTTGGGAGTTAATCTCTCTTCCTCAAGAACAAAGACATCCACCTACATAGTGCGGCACAGCCACCAACCTCAGGAAAGTTAACACCCGAGGATGAAGTGCTTCCTGTCTCCACTGTAGGGGCTCAATGGTCCAAATAACTTCCTCGAGAGTGAATTCGTTTTCCCGCCCCAGGCTGCAGTTCCGGATGCCGTCTGGTCCTGTCTCTTTGGTCCTGGTTCATCAGGAACGGTCCCTCAGCCCTTCCTTGTCTTGGTGATGCTGGCGTGGTTTTGAATTGGACAACATTCACATAATACGCAGTTCACCATGGTCAAGCGTACACGTCAGTGGCGTTTAGGATACTCACGATGGTGTGCATTCGTCACCTCTGGCTAGTTCCAGAGCACTTTCGGCACCCTCAGAAGAAACCCTGTACCCATTAGGCAGTTGCTCCCGTTCCTTCCTCCTCCCGCCCCTGGCGACCCCTAACCTGCCCCCTGGTCTCTACAGATGTGCCTTCCCAGACGTTTGCTATTCGTGCAGTCCTACAATATGCGGCCTTTTATGTCTGGCTTCTCCACTCAGCAAACGTTTCTGAGCCTTATCTATGCTGTGTCTTGTATCAGTGCATCGTTCCTTTTTCATGGCTGAATAATATTTCACCTAGCAGATATATACCACACCCTGCTCATCCACTCATCAGCCAGCACTGGCCTTCTCCCTCGAATAATTTCATCACCGGTATGGCTATACTGGCAAGTACCCGTGGCCATCAGCCTGGCCGACTTCATGGTAACGAAAAGGGACCAGAAACAAAAAA